CCCAAAAAAAAAACCAACTTGTATGTATGGATGTTTGCCTGCATGTATGGATGTGTACCACATGTATGCCTGGTACCTTCAAAAACCAGAAGAGGGCATTGGATCCCGTAGAACTAGAGTTAGAGATGGTTGTAAGCCAGTACATTTGTGCTGGGAATTGAAACCCTGTCCTGTGTAAGAAAAGCAAAAGCCCTTAAGTGCTGAGCCATCTCTCTAAGCCTCAGGCACATTTCTTGACATTCATCAGTTAATACAGATGAAATATTAAGAACTCATGCTTAGGCTGGTAAGATATCTCAGACTTGAGATAGCTTATCAGGTCAAGGTGCTTGTGACCAAGTCTAGTGACTTGAGTTAAGTTATTGGGATCACACATTGTGGAAAGAGAGAACTGACTCCTCTAAGTTGTTCTCTGACCTCTATACACCTGTTTTGGCACATATGTACCAAGATACACAGTAAATGAATGAATGGGTAGATGGGTGGATGTAATACAAAATAATTTAAAAAAGAAAACAGAACCTAGGCTCTGGGTTGACAGGTTACCTAGTGAGGGGAAGCAGTGGGAGAAGCAGTGGGAAATATAGCTGTTAAGTGACCAAGAGGCTCATCCTAGAGGAGAAACACCAGATGTAGAAGCTTAAAGGTCAGAAATTTGAAATAGATAGATCAGATGAAGGACAACTCAGTAAACAGAGGGTATTTTAGGGAGGTTGTTTTGGTTTGGTTTGGTTTGGTTTTTTGAGACAAGATCTCACTGTATAACCCTGGCTGGCCTGGAATTCACTATGTAGACCAGGCTGTCCTTGAACTCACAGAAATCCATCTGCCTCCTGAATACTGGGATTACACGTTGTACATCACCACACCTAGCTTTTTAAAATTTATTTTTATTTTATATGTATGAATGTTTTGCCTACGTGTATATATGTGCAGTGCCCTTGGAGGTCAGAAGTGGGTGTTGGATACCCTAGAACTGGAGTTATGGATGGGTGTTAGCTACCATGTGGATGCTGGGAACCAACCCTGATCCTCTGCAAGAGCAGCCAGTGCTCTTAACCACTGAGCCCTACACCTGGCTTTGGGGAGTTTTTAATGAGGGAGAAGGGGGCAGGTAACTTTGGCTTTTGGAGTGACTAGAAAGCCAGACCGTTCCAGGGAGTACTCAGACTGACTCCCCCCACCTCCTTTTTTTGAGGATCTATGGGGCATTGGGCCCTTGTTCATTAGGCATTTCCTTGAGGTTGGCTGGGAATGCATTGGTCCCTGTTTTGGGGTTAAAAGTCTGGCACCCCTACCTTCTGCAGGGCTAACTGGTTGACCCCTTTCCTTCTGGCAAAAGGGAGAAGGACTCAGAGCTGAATCAGAAGCGGCCTCAGTATATCAAAGCCAAGGAGAATACCTCTCACAAAATCAAGAAGCTTGAAGCAGCTAAGAAGTCTCTGCAAAATGCTCAGAAGCATTATAAGAAGCGTAAAGGTGACATGGATGAGCTGGAAAAGGAGATGCTGTCAGTGGAGAAGGCCCGGCAGGAGTTTGAAGAACGGATGGAGGAAGAGAGCCAGAGCCAGGGTAGAGACTTGACCCTGGAGGAGAATCAGGTGAGTCTTGGAAGGGTTAAGTAGAGAAGAGATCAGTGACCTAACATGGACTGATTTGGTAATCCTTGTCCTCTTTTCCTGTCCCTAACACAGGTAAAGAAATACCACCGATTGAAAGAGGAAGCCAGCAAAAGAGCAGCCACTTTGGCCCAGGAGCTGGAGAAGTTTAATCGAGACCAGAAAGCTGACCAGGACCGTCTAGATCTGGAAGAGCGGAAGAAAGTAGAGACAGAGGTAGGCAGAAGTTCAGATCAGACTTGAGGGTGTAGCTTAGTGGCAGAGTGTATACTTAGCATACTTGAGACCCTGGATTCAGTTCCCAGCATCAAACAGTTACTGTATTCTAAGCACTATCTTTACATATATTCACTCATTTAAAGTCTTTATTTGTGATTAAGCAAAAGCTATGGGTAGCAAAAAGCTACCTTTATGGGGTGGCTACGATTATCCTCCTTTTTCAAATGAAGAAACTAGCACAGAGGTGAAATAATCTGCTTAAGATCCCATAATTACTTAGTGGTGGAACTAGGATGTGAACCTGGGCAATCTGGCTCTAAAGCTCACACTATTACTGAGTATATGTTGCTTTCTGCTCCTCTGATGTTAGTAATAAATAATGATAGAAAATTGCTATATTGGGACTGGAGAGTTGGCTCAGCGGTTAAGAGCACTGGTTGCTCTTACAGAGGACCAGGGTTCAGTTCCCAGCACCACATGGCAGCTAACAGCCATCTCTAACTCCAGTTCCTGGATCTCATGCCCTCTTCTGGCCTCCACAGGCATTGCATGACACAGGTACACTTAACATACATGCAGGTGATACACTCATACACATAAAATAAAAATAATAAAACATTTTTTTAAAAAAGAAAGTTACTATATTGTCCCAAGGGCCTATAATCTTCTAGGCATTCAGCTAAACACATTTTAAATATTTAAAAGAATGTGATAGACATTAATATTAATTATCCTGCAGCAGGTGGTTAATGTGTATTCTATGAAGTGGAAATTACATATATCTTAGAGCCGAGGCAACAGGGTCAGAGAGATCTGTGACGTTCTGCTCTGCTTAGGTTTGAGCCTGAGATTGGTAAGGAAACCTGGACTAGGTACAATACTTTTGAGAAGTTTTGGAGCCTTTGGAGGTCCCCATCCATTAGCAGACTGGACACTATATGTGTGTCTGTTTTTTATTAGACTTCCTGCATTAGCAGCAGATTGTGCTACACTGTTGGAATTTTGGATGAGTGGGCACAGTAGGGGGTATGAGCTAGGACCCCATGGTCTTGGGTTAACTGGCTCAGCCCCTGGTGATAGAATAGAATATATTTGTTCCCAGGCCAAGATCAAGCAAAAGCTACGGGAGATTGAAGAGAATCAGAAAAGGATCGAGAAACTGGAAGAATATATTACCACTAGCAAGTATGTGGTTCTGCTGCCCTCCCTCTTCCTTCCAGGCCTGTTCTTCCATGCTTGTCCTTCCCCTCTTGAGACAGGCCCACCAAACTCCTTAAGTCACCAACTAGGCTAACTCTTGTGTTCTCTCACTTTGTAGGCAGTCCCTAGAAGAGCAGAAGAAGCTGGAGGGAGAACTCACAGAGGAAGTGGAGATGGCCAAGCGACGTATTGATGAGATCAATAAGGAACTGAATCAGGTGATGGAGCAATTGGGAGATGCCCGCATTGATCGCCAGGAAAGCAGCCGCCAGCAACGAAAGGCAGAAATAATGGAAAGCATCAAGCGTCTTTATCCAGGTTCTGTGGTAAGAGCTGAAACTCTTCCTAAGCACTTATTCAGACTCGCTGTCATATTTCTCAGCAGCCCTGTGTTGTGTGGCTTTTCCTGGGGAGAAATGACACACTCATCTATTACCCCAGAAAGGGGACCTATAACAGACCAAAGTAATGATTGAACCAAAGTCCAACTTGGTGAACTAGTGAGTATGAGGGAGGGGTTACTTACAGGAGCAAGGATGACTCAAAAGAGCAGCTGCATCACCAAAAAGCCCACCGAACACAGGGTGACAACAGCTGCAACCCTCAAGCTCTCTGCACAGCCTAAGGGCTGTTCTGCAGTTGCGACTCTTCCCTCTGCAGCTTGCTAGTCAGACTCCTCCCCCAACAGTTGTTTACTCCTATAAAGCTGAGGAGAGGCTTTCTAGAATCCTACAAGTTATTTTTTGGTCTTTTTGAGACAGGGTCTCCCTGTAGCCGCAGCTGGCCTGGAGCTCACTATGTAGACCAGGCTGGCCTCGAACTCACAGAACTCTTCTTGCCTCTGCCTCCCAAGTGCTGGGATTAAAGGAGTGTGCCACCATGCCTGGCTTAATTTTTTAATTAAAAAAAATGTATTTTGAGGGGGGCACCCATGCCATGTTCCACATGTGGAACTCAGGAAAACTTTGTGGAGTCAATTCTTTTCTTCCTTTATGGTGGCTCTAGGAATTGAGCTCAAGTAGCCAGGCTTGTGTAGTAACACTCTTTTATCTACTGGTCCATCTTGTCAGACCCTCTTTTTTGTTTGTTTTTATTTTTGTGTGCAAGTACCATTCTACTCCTGTGGAGGTCAGAGAACAGCTTGAGGTGTCAGTCCTTGCGTTTCACCTTGTTTGAAACAGGGTCTTCTGTTTTTTTTCTTCTGCTGTGTACACCAGGCTAGCTGGCCCATAAGCGTCCTGGGATTCTCCTGTCTCCACCTCCCATCTGTCCCTATGGGGATAGGAGCACTAGGATTACTGACAGTGCATGCTACCATGTCCTGCTTTATGTGAATTCTGGGGGTTCAAATTCAGGTCCTAAAGCCTGCATGGCAGGCCTTACCCACTGAGCTTTATCCATTCCCTAGCTCTTATGCTCTTTTCACTATACCAATGGCATTTTCCTGATGAATTTGTCTTGCTATAGCCACTCTCCTTAGAGAGTGGAGAGGCCAAAGAAGGTTTTGGAAAGAGGAGTGATGGGCCTGAAATTCCTCTTCAGAGAAGTAGCTCTGTGTAGTTTTTTTGCATTTTTACTTTTAAAATCATGTTTATTTGTGGGTCTGTGTGAAGGTCTGTGCACATGAATGCAAGTGCCTGTGTGGACCAGATACTATATATAGATAGTTGTAAGCCCACCACATGTGGTTGCTGGGAATTGAACTTGGGTCCTGTAGAAGAGCAGCTACAAGTGCTCTGAACTGGTGAACCATCTCTCCAGTCCTCTGCAGTTTTCTATGTGTTTCCTTGGCATGTACCAACTTGCCTGTTAGCTTTTAGGGACTCCCTGGGCTTTATATCAGATATCTTGATCCCCATCTAATTCTGAGTTCCCAGGTCCCCCAAATGTTACCCTTCTATATTATCCTGTTCCTGTGTTCAGCTTAGATTGGTTCCACAAATACATCCTGGTTATAGGTACTGCTAGGGAAGTACTTAGGAATTAGGGTCAGCATCTGTCCCTGAAGAACTTAACTTTTTCTTCATAGATCAAAAAGACCAAAAAACCCAAAAAACAAATTGGTTTCCAGAGCTGGAGAGGTGGTTCAGTGGTTAAGAGTGAGTACTCCTTTTGCAGTGGACCTGAAGTTCAGCTCCAAGCACACATATCAAGTGGGTCACAACTTCTATGACTAGTAAAAATTAGGTGTCATAACCTGTCCCATAGGTGACTTTGTTAGAGTTTTTCATAGAATTCAGGGAAACACATTTCCTCTGTGTCTGTCCGTTTCCTGAGACAGGGTCTTGTGTAGCTCCGATTGGCCTCAAATTCACTTTGTAGTACGATCTGGCCTTGAACTTCTGACTTTTTTTACATCTACCTACTGTGTACTGGTATTCTAGGTATGTACCACCATGCCCAGTGTCCTAACTTGCTTTCTGTTGCTGTGATAAAACACTCTGACCTAAACCAACTTGATGAGAAAAGGGTTTATTTGACTTACACAGCCCAATCACAGTTCATCATTGGAAGGAGCCAGGACAGGAACTCAAAGCAGGAACCTGGAGGCAGAAGCTACTCGGGCTTGTGACTTCCATTCAGTCTTGTCAGGTTCTGGTCAGAAAACATAGAGCTTCACCTTTTTTGGGGGGGGCAGGGGTATCTTTTTTGAGACAGGGTCTCCCTGTAGTCCCAGCTGGCCTGGAACTTGCTATGTAGATCAGGCTGGCCTTGAACACATCTGCCTGCCTCTGCGTCCCAAGTGCTGGGATTAAAGGTGTGCACCACCACACCCAGCTAGAGTTTCACCTTTTTAAGCATCTGATATAACTGAGCTAAGAGACAGTATAATCCTTTTGAGCCTCTTTTGAGGTATTAATTGGGTGTTTCATCATGTAACCCATGTATTCATTCCTTAACCCTCCTCTTGATCTAACTTCCTTCCACCTTTGGAAGAAATATCAGGGTTGACCACCGTACTGTTCTAAATTGCAGGTAGCAATGTGAGTCAATTGCAGGTAGCAATGTGAGTCTAACAAGTACCTTTCCCTCAGTCCATTCCCATTAGGGTAGTATTATACAGGTACAGACCATTTAGGCAGCATGGGTGCATTTATTTTTTCTCATACAGACTTTAGCCTGCTGTTTGTGAACTGGTAATTGGGATTCCTCAGCCACTTTCCTACAGCCTCATGCTTCAGTTTTTCCTTCCTCCTCTACTCAGTATGGCCGCCTCATTGACCTCTGCCAGCCCACACAAAAGAAGTATCAGATTGCTGTGACCAAGGTTTTGGGAAAGAACATGGATGCTATTATTGTAGACTCGGAAAAGACAGGCCGGGATTGTATTCAGTATATTAAGGAACAGCGTGGGGAGCCTGAGACCTTCTTGCCTCTTGACTACCTGGAGGTGAGACTTGTGGGAATGGGGTCAAGGCAGTGTTGAGGGCCCCTCCCTTTAGCTTTCTACATTCTGCTGCTTCATGAGCTTCTCCAAACAGGTGAAACCTACAGATGAGAAACTCCGGGAGCTGAAGGGGGCCAAGCTAGTAATTGATGTGATTCGCTATGAGCCACCTCACATCAAAAAAGCCTTGCAGTACGCTTGTGGCAATGCCCTTGTTTGTGACAATGTGGAGGATGCCCGACGCATTGCCTTTGGAGGCCACCAACGCCACAAGGTATGGACCTCTTTGCTCAGGTTGGAGCTGAACAGGCTCAGGACTGGAGACTCCTGTATTCACCTTTCTTTTCCCTACTGTTCATAGACAGTGGCACTGGACGGAACCCTGTTCCAGAAGTCAGGCGTCATCTCTGGTGGGGCCAGTGATCTCAAGGCCAAGGCGCGGCGCTGGGATGAGAAAGCAGTGGACAAATTGAAAGAAAAGAAAGAACGGTTGACGGAAGAGCTGAAAGTAGGCCGCAAGCAACACTGATCCTTAGGAACGGGATTCCTGAGCCCAGGTTGGCCAACTTCTTACCATGTGGCCCTTTTGTCTTGTCATCTTCAGGAGCAGATGAAGGCAAAACGGAAAGAGGCAGAGCTGCGGCAGGTGCAATCTCAGGCCCATGGACTACAAATGAGACTGAAGTACTCACAGAGTGACCTAGAACAGACCAAGACAAGGCATCTTGCCCTGAATCTACAGGTGAGACCTGGCCTCCATGCTAGGTTTTTGTGGGGGCTGGGAGTTTGTTACCCACTCTCTCCTGTCTTGTTCTGAGAACTAAGCATAGTATAGTCAGACACACAGGGCTCTAGATCCTTGTTATATTTATGCCATTAAGCAACTCATTTAACCTCTCAGTGTCAGTTTTCTCATCTTCATCTACAAAATGGGAATTATTGTCTACTTTGTATGGTCACTGCAAAGATGGAATGACTTAATATCTATAAAGTGTTTATACCAGTAGGCACTCAGTAAATATTAGGTACTGTTATTAGTGTAACTCATTCAATAAATATTCGAACTTGTAGCCAGGTATTGGTGCATGGCTTTGATTCCAGCACTCAGAAGGCAGAGGCAGGTAGATCTTTGTGAGTTTGAGGCCATCTTGGTCTGCACAACGAGTTTTAGGCCAGCCAGGGCTACATAGTAAGATCCTGTCTCCGGCAAGAAAGTGAAAGTGAGCTAGAGGATCAATGTGGTGGCACTTGCTTGTGGTCCCAGTATATTGGAGGCTAATGTAGGAGGGCAGTGAGTTCAAGCCTACCCTGAGCTACATAGTGGAGTCACGGCGCAAGAGAGGAGAAAAAAAACTACAAGCAGTTCAGTGTCTGGGTAGGATGGACTGTTATAGGTGTATTAATTTGGGCACTTTCCCTGTTTACTCTAGAGGTATTACATAATACCTAGTTTTACCTTTTTCTGAGAAGCAGATTGACTTCTAAAACATATTTGGCCTAGAGGTTATAGATAAGGGCCCCACAAGTAATGACTAGCTGTGCCCAGTCCTGCTGATAAAAGGTGGTTGAATTAGAAACTGCAAACTGATTGCTCCAACAAGAGATTGTGGAACCTTTATTAGGGCATTGGTGCTGAGGCAGGCTTTGTCAGTGGATGCTGACCATAGAGCCGCTCCTGAAGCTCTTCTTCCATAGAGCCTGGTCTCTTTGTCTTTCAACCTATTTATTGGCTGTAGGAAAAGTCTAAGCTGGAGAGTGAGCTGGCCAACTTTGGACCTCGAATTAATGATATCAAGAGAATCATCCAGAGCCGAGAGAGGGAAATGAAAGACTTGAAGGAGAAGATGAACCAGGTTAGTAGGAGGTGGGTCATCCCAAGTATATCAGGACAAGACCGGGATTGGAGACAGTGCTCTAATGAAGAATACCTCTGCCTTCCCTGACTTTTCCTCACAGGTGGAAGATGAGGTGTTTGAAGAGTTTTGTCGGGAGATTGGTGTGCGCAACATCCGGGAATTTGAGGAAGAAAAGGTGAAGCGGCAAAATGAAATTGCCAAGAAGCGGTATGTGAAAGTATTGTTAGAAGATACTGGGATGCCTTTGTGCCTCCAGCCGGACATCTTTGAAAGTCACTAGCAGTTCTTAGAACCATAGTAATTTATTGTAGGTAGACCTGAAAGAACAGAGAAATAAGATAGGTAGTATGGTGTGACAGTGAGTAAAAGTACCAGCTTTAATTTTGGTTTACCTCAATTAAAATCATTATCTTGCACCACAATTTTTTTTTTGGTCTTTTTGAGACAGGAACTCTCTCTCCATAGCTCCAGCTGGCCTCGAACCACAGAGATCCTCCTGCCTCTGCCTCTCCAGTGCTAGGATTAAAGGTGTGCACTACCATACCCAGCCCCATCACAATTTCTATAATGAAACAATATCTATCTTGTGGTACAAGGATGAGCTAATCCTTGTGAAGTATTTAGCATACTACTTATTACCTGCAAAGAACAGACAAACATTATCTTTTATTTTGCCCTTATCCTTATTTGTTAGGGGTTAGGAATGGAAAGAAGTTCTAGGTTGAAGGAATAGCCATAAAATAAATTTCCCTTCCTCATTTTCCTCATTTATTTTATTATACTTTGTTTTTTTGAGACAGGTCTCCCTTTGCTGCTCAGGCTGGCCTGAGGCCACTCAATAAGCTCATTTTGGTTTGTTGGTTTGTTTGAGGTAGGGTCTTGCTAGGAAGTCCTGGCTGGTCTGGTTCTTGCTAAGTAACTCAGGCTGACTTTGAACTCAGAAATCTCCTGCTTTAGCCTCCTCAGTGCTGGGATCCCAAGCATGTGTCACCATGCCCTGTTTAATTAATAAGTCTTTCTTGAGCATCTACTTTGTACCAGGTTGTCTTATGCTAAATATTGGTGGGGGTGGGGAAGATGGAGGTGAGACAGATAAATATGACATAGTAACTTTAAAGGAAGTCATCACCTGGACTCTGGGTCTCAGTTAACAGTTCATCTAGAGCTGTACATGGTGACACCTGAAATCTTAGGTGCTCAGGATTCCAAGTTCAAGACCAGCCTTATAGTTTAGCAAGATCCTGCCTCAAAATACAGTAAAAAGACAGGAGGTTGAAAGTGTAGTTCAGTAGTAGAGTACTTACTTAGCATAGCATGTATGAGGCCCTGGGATTCAATCCATAGTGTTATGTATTATATGTGAATTTTTTTTTTCATTTAGCCCTTTGTATTAGTTATTTTTCTGTTGCTGTGATAGAAACACTGACCAAAACAACTTATAAAAGGAAGTGTTTATTCGAGCTTATGGTTCCAGGGGAATTACAGTCTGTCATGGCGGGGAGGCATGGCAACAGAGGTGGCTGAAGCAGGCGCAGAAGCCAAGCTCTCACATCTTCAAGCAGGCACAGGAAGCAAGAGAGGGACTGGAGCCCTGCAAGACTTAAGAACTCTCTAAGCCCGCCCCCAGTGATGTGCTTCCTCCAGGATGGCCACACCTTCTACCTCCCAAAACAGTGCCACCACTGGGGACAAAATGGCCAAATACTTGGAGCCTATGGGCAACATTTTCATTCAAACCACTACACCCTTCACTTTAAAAAAAAATTTATTATTTTAATTTTATGTGTATGAGTGTATTGCCTACATGTGTGTAAGTGCACCCGTGTCGTGCTATGCCGAAGAGGTCAGGAGGGCATCGGATTCCTCTGGAACTGGAATTAAGGACGGTTCTTAGCCGCTATGTAGTGCTGGAAATCAAACGAGTCCTCTGCAAGAGCAATCAGTGCTCTTAACTGCTGAGCCATCTCTCCAGTTCCACCCTTCACTCTTATAATAAACATCATTGCTTTTCTATCTAAGCCAGGTTCAGGATATACAGTTGAATCTGGTACTGTGTCTTTCCTCAGGAAACTTAGAGTTCTTAAAGGAAATAGGTAGATAAACAATTTCAGGACAGGATGATTGATTGATTGATTGTGTGTCTGCGCACGCGCACGTGCACGTGCTATGGCACTCATGTAGAGGTCAAAGAACAACCTGTGAGAGTCAGCTGTCTCCTTTCACCATGTGGGACTTGGGGATTGAACTCAGGTCACTGTGTTTGGTGGCAAGTGCCTTTGCCCACTGAGCCATTTCGCTGGACCTGATACTTAATTTCTTTCTTCCTGCTTGTTTTGAGACAGGGTCTCTCAGCAGGCCTGGGACTCACTATGTAGATCAAGCTGACCTCTGCCTCCCAAGTGCTGGGATTAAAGGGGTGTGCCATCACACTCAGCTCTCTGATAGTCAATTTCTTAATGAGAGGAATGCAAGTTAAAACAGTCTAGTAGTAGTTGCTGAAAATAAGACACCCGTTTTAATATATAATCTGTGTTAGTGGGATATTAGTAGCAATGTAAATGGCCATCACTGAGGGGTGAGTGTAAATGAAATGTGATGAATATACAGACTGAAGTACTGTGGAGCAATTCAAGGAAGAACAAATTCATAGGCAATAACATGGATAAATTGTAAATCTAGTATGGGCTGGAAAATGAGATTTTTTAACATGGTGCCATTTTGAAAGAATGTACTTTTTCTTAAAGGTTTTTTTTGTGTGTGTGTGTGTGTGTGTGTGTGTGTGTGTGTGTGTGTTTTGAAACAGGATCTTACTCTGTAGTTCTGGCTGGCTTGGAACTTACAATGTAGACCAGGCTGAGATCTGCCTGCTTCTATCTCCTGAGTGCTGGGATTAAAGGCATGTGCTACTACATGTTTGGTTTTTTTTTTTTTAATTTTTGCAATAATGGCTTTTTAAAAGATTTTGAAATTTTTTATGTGTTTGTATGAGTGTATGCTACGTGTGTGGTTGCCCAATGTGGGTGCTGGGAACCAAACTCTGGAAAGAGTAGCAAGTCTTTTTAACCACTGAGCCATCTCTAGCCCAGGATGTGCATTTTTAAGGGTGTGTGGTATGTGTCACTTTGCAGTGTTCACAATACGGGAAGATGATAGGAGTAGAAATTGGAGATTGAATAAAGGAGATAAGAAAGGGTCTTTCATAGATACCAATGTCAAACATTATTAACTGTGGCATTTGACTAGCTCAGTTCATCTGAAATTCCAAAAGGAAGGAACCAACAAAACAGGAACTAAGAGCCTGTTCTGAACTATCTAGAAAGGCATTAAAGAACAAGGAGTGGGGAACTAGAGATCTGAAGCGTGGGATTTAGGCTAGCCAAGCAGGGACAGAAAAGAGTTCTGGGCAGTGAGAACAGCATGCTTGGAGGTGTGATAGAGCATGCTTTGTTTTGGATACTAAGTAGTTCTGAATGCCTGGAGAATAAAAACCGGGTCAGGAGGAAGGCGGGGGAGGTGGAGAGGTCAGCAGGGGCCAGATCACAGAGGGTTTTATGAGTCATTCTTAGGAGCTCGGACTTAAAATTGCATAGCTCAAAATTACAGCGTTAATTACATTCCATTTGGATTATAGTGACTAACAGGTTTAAGCTGCTAGCATGACATCTGGCAGCATCTGTTAAACTACATTGGAGGTTGGAGGGGCAGTTGAAAGCTAGCTCTACTTGGCACGCCAGTGTCTATATGCTGATTATGAATTTCAGGAGAGGTGGCGAAGAAGGACAGTAGCAGGAATTCAGTATCCATAGTCTTGTACTACCAAAGCTCTGCTCCTTACAAAGTTCTCAAATGTTGGGGCAGAGGTTTTGGTGCTACAAAGATTTGAAGCCCTTGGGCTTCCTCAGAATGATAGCTATAATTTATTGAGTAGTTACTATTAAGAAAATCACAGATGAGGAATTGAGATCACACTACTGCTAAGTGAAGAGAATTAGGATACCAGCTCTATTAACCCACTATATTATACTGCAGTGATGACATATAGGAAAGAGTCTGGGTTTTGGTGTTAGACCTAGATTCCAATCTCATATGTGCCATTTGCCTTGGGTCTTTTACCTCTTAGCCTAAGTTTTCTGAGTGAAATTAGGATAATACTAGCCATGGGAGCTGTTGATTAGACAAATAGAGATAATATGTAAAGTACATAGAAGCTTAATAAGTAAGAACCATAGCTGGTAGTTTCAGTTGGACCTTTTTTATCCCTTCTAGGAAATTGGGAGAGTGCTGGTGTCCCCAGTGTTTAAAGGTGAATAAATGGGATTTAGTCTAGATTTCTCTGTCTTGAGCTAGTTTTCCAGCTTGGTGTACATATGGTTGGATAAGATGATGGTGACTGAAATTCAGCAGTAGCTTGGAGGACCTGAGTCCTAAGTCTAGTTGCCTTTCGTTCTACAGTTTGGAGTTTGAGAATCAGAAGACTCGCTTGGGTATCCAATTGGATTTTGAAAAGAACCAACTGAAGGAGGACCAGGATAAAGTACACATGTGGGAACAAACAGTGAAAAAGGATGAAAATGAGATAGAAAAGCTCAAAAAGGTAAGGAAAGAGAAAGTTAGAAGATAAAGGAAAAATTTGAATAGATAGGATACACTGAAGTAGAATACCTATAATTTATAATAAGTTTTTCATCTAAATAAGAAAAACACAAAGAACTTTATGGAAAGGGGTTGCACAGGTAGCACAGTTGGAAAGATTATAAATCTTTCCCCACAATTATAAATTACTTAGCTTTTCTAGAAATCAAAAAAATGCAACTTAAAATAGCAATTGGGTATAATTTGTTTCCTATCATATTATCCATTTTTTAAAAAGATTTAAACAATTTTTGATTATGTGTTTCTCTGTGTGTGGGTATGTACATGTGGGAGCAGGTGCCCGTAGAGGCCAGAGGTGTTGGATTCCCTGGAGTTAGAGTTATTACAGGCAGTTGTGAGCTTCCCAGTGTGAGTGCTGGTAATTGAACTTGGGTCCTCTGGAAGAGTAGATCACATCCTTAACTACTGAGCCATCTCTCAAGCCCCACATTGTCGAAGATTTAAAAACAAAACACTGCTTAGTACTCATACGGTCCTTGAGATCAGTGTTCTATAATTATCCAACATGAAGCTTCACAATGCAGGGATGCCCTCGAACTCGGTAATAACCTGAGGGGGTAATCCAGAGTACTGGTAAAGCTTTGTGCAAATACCAGCACCCTCCCAATTTCCTAGGAGGCATAAAAGGTCCAACTGAAACCACCAGCTATGGTTCTTAGTAAGTTTCTGTGTACTTTACATATTACAAACATTACTTACAGTTCCAAGTTGGAGACTAGCCAATGTGCCTTGGAATATAGGAATTTAGCAAATTATGCTACATTCATGTAACGCAGAGGTCCTCGAACTTGCTATGTAGACCAAGCTGACCTGAAACTCACAAAGATCCACCTGCCTCTGCCTTCTGAGTGCTGGGATTAAAGGTGTGCCCCACCAAGCTTGGAAAAATACAGATTTTTTTTTTCTTGGTCTTTTTGAGATAAGGTCTCCCTGTAGCCCCAGCTGGCCTGGAACTCATTATGTAAACCAGGCAGGCCTTGAACTCACAGAGATCCACCTGCCTCTGTCTCCTGATTGCTGGAATTAAAGGGGTGTACCACCACGCCCAGCACTCAGATTTTTTTTAAAGGGTAATTTGTGGGGCTGGAGAGATGGATCCAGTTCCTGGAGATCCAGTGCCCTTTTCTGGCCTCTCTGGGTATTGCAGGACACAGGTGCACTTGCATACATGCAAAAACACTCATATACATCAAATAAAAATAAAATTTTAGGGCTAGAGAGATGGATCAGCAGTTAAGAACACTGACTATTCTTGTAGAAGACCCAGGTTCGAATCCCAGCACCCACGTGGCAGCTAACAACTGCCTGTAACTCCAGTTCCAAGGGATCTGATGACCTCTTCTGTCCTCCACAGGCATTGTGTGACATGGGAACACTTACACATATGCAGAATAACACTCATACACATAAAAATAAAAATAAATTTAAAAAAATTAAAGGTGAGGGGGAAGGAAAAAATCTTCCATAACATGAATAGGCTGAATGAATTCATGTCCATCAATCCAACCCTACAGAGAATACTTGAAGCAATACAAAAGACTGAAGAAAGGAACAACTGTATTCAAGAGGCAAAAGAAAGAAACTAAAAGAATCACTGTATTGTTAAAATACACAAAATTATTATTTGCCAATTAAAAATAAATTTCAAAAGTTCTGAAAACCTCCCTACCCCAATAGCACATTAGGAAAACATAGGCCTAAAATCATCTTTTGGGCTGGAGAGATGGCTCAGTGGTTAAGAGCACTGGCTGCTCTTACAGAGGACTCGGATTCGATTCCCAGCACCCACATGGCAGCTAACAACTGTGTGTAACTCCAGTTCCAGGGGCATCTAATGCCTTCTTCTGACCTCCCTGGGCATTGCACGACACGGGTGCACTTACCTACATGCAGGCAATACATGCATACACATAAAATTTTAAAAATTAAGTAAAATTTATAAAACAAATAAATAAAATTTTAAAAATAGGGTAACTTGTACTTTCAGTAGATCTCAGAGAAAAATTATGTAGAGAAAGTCAGTAATTATTTCATTCCTTAATCTATTAGAGCCATGTCCTGAAAACCTTGGGGATCTGGATTGACTCGTTGTTTTCAATCAACAAATGTTCTCACCAACCGAGACTTACAGTTGTTTTGATTATTTCATACATCAACAGTATTTGAGAAGAAAAACAGACATTGGATCAATATAGGTTAAATGCATGTCTGACAACCAAATTCAGTCTTTTAATATTCTTATTTTTTCTGTAGCTCTTCCATTTTGTCAACATAAGCTTTCATGGCCTTTTCCTTAGTACTACTGATTCCCACTTGGCTTTGCCTTTGAGGTCTAACATCCTTAGTTGTTCTTTTTCTGTTGCCCACAGTCACTTCTTTGTAGTAGCTGTAGGTGAACAGCATCTCATCATCTGCTGTCTTGGGCTTGAAATAACACCCTCAACAGCTTTTTCAGGCTTAGCCTGAAACATGCTGGTGGGGTTTTAATGATTCCTTGGAGCCCACACAGAAGATGAGGAGCAGGAAGCAGTAATGAAAGAACAGCTGGCAAGTACCTTTAGAGGCATAGCTCCAATGTCTCAACCTCAAATTCAGATTAGCCATATAAATTGAGTGCAACAGATGATGTTTTGCTGACACCCAGCCATTTCATGGTATGACTGTGTTAGTGTCTGCTACAAGCCTACTGTTTAACACGCCTGTGTCACTGTGTTTTGTGTGATGACTTTCCTTATAGCCTTCCTTTTAAAATTATTGTGAAACTTGTTCTTCTAGCATTCCCTTCTGAGCGGATTTGGTCCTCTTGATTTGAACATATCATTTGATTTTTGTATATGCCTGTATTTGTTGCTTGTATATTTTCTTCATTAATCCTTAGTGATTTAAAGTATTCCTTTTAGGCTCAGCATTAAAGAGGACCCAAGTTTGGTTTCCAGCAACCGCAACGACAACCATTTGTAATTCCAACTCCAGGGGAATCCAATGCCTCTGACTGCCACAGACATCTGCATTCAATATGTGCATACCCCCACACATAATTTGTTACTTGCATTTGCAGATTAGATAGTAAAACCCTGGGATATGCTGGGCATGGTGCATGCCTTTAAATCCCAGCACAGGCAGGTAGATCTCTGAGTTCCAGACCAAAAAGGGCTACATTATAAGACTATCTCAAAAAACCAAAAAAAGCTGGGCATGGTGGTGCACACCTTTAATCCCAGGCAGGGGGGCCGGGGGGCAGCTTGGTTTCTTGCCTGATCTCCACACCTGAAGCCACAGTGAAGTCCTGTCTCAAAAAAGGAGGGGGAAAAAAAAAAACCACAACCATGGGGCAGGTCTGATTTGTTTAGCAAAAAGTTACCAGAATAGTATAGCCTTCTTTTGATGCCCACAGGGGATTGGTTCTAGGGTCCCCCTCCATCCCCCTACCCCACCACAGGACACTAAAACCCCAGTCTCTTGTATAAAATGATATATATTGTTTGTATGTAAAATATGTACATCCTCTTGTATACTTTAAATCATCTCTATATTATATAATAGCAATGCAAATACTATGTAAGTATGTACTATGTACTTTATTTTATTTTTGGTATTTTTGAGACAGGGTCTCCCTGTAGCACCAACTGGCCTGGAACTCACTATGTAGACCAGGTTGACCTTGAACTCAGAGCTCTGCCTGCCTCTGCCTCCTAAGTGCTGGGACACTAGGCATGTGCAATCATGCCTGGCTGTACTTTATTATTTAGGTTAAAATGACAAGAAAAATGTATGTGCATTCAGTACAGGTTTTTGTCAGATATTTTTGATAATGCTATTGAATGCCTGGGCATGGATGCAAAATCTGTGGATATGGAAGGCCAACTGTCAAAGAATTCCCATCTACAAGATTCAGCAGTCATCATTGTGTTGCCGTATTTTAGCATTCTATAGATGCTTATAAGTCATTTGAGAGTTAAGCTCTGGGTGGGTCGTTTTTTTTTCCTTTTTCTTTTTTGGGACAGGGTCTCATGTAGCCCAGGCTGACCTCAAACTCAGTATATGGCCAAGGATAACCTTAAACTTCAGATCTTCCTGTCTTTGCCTCCTGCATGCTAGGATTACAGGAATGTATCATCTCGTGGTTTTATGTGGTGCTAGGGATCAAATCCTGGCTTTGTGCATACTAGGCAAGCATTCCACCAACTGAGCCATGTTATCAGCCCTTTATGTCTCCTTTAATATGATTGGTTTTTTTTGTTGTTGTTGTTATTCTTGTTTTTTTGTTGTTGTTTTTTGATCTTTTCGAGACAGGGTCTCTCTGTAGCCCCAGCTGTCCTGGAACTCACTATGTAGACCAGGCTGGCCTTGAACTCACGGAGATCCACCAGCCTCTGCCTCTTGAGTGCTGGGATTAAAGGCATGTGCCACCATGCCTGGCTAGTATGATTTTTTTTTTTAAGATTAAAATGAGAGTTGGGCCGGGCATGATCACATGCCTCTGCTTGGGAGGCAGAGGCAGGCAGATCTCTGTGAGTTCAAGACCAGCTTCGTCTACATAGTGAGTTCCAGGCTAGCTGGGGCTACAGGGAAATCCTGTCTCGAAAAGACAAAATAAAATAAAATGAGAGTTGGGTGTGGTAGTACTTGCTGTTAATCCCAGGACTTCAGAGGCAGAGGCAGGGAGCTCTCTGAAATTGAAACCATCTTGTACATAGTGAGTTCCAGGCCAGTTGGAGATCCTGTCTCGAAAAAAAAGGTTAAACTGGGGATGGGGGAGCCCACAATTTTCTTTTAATTTTTACTTATTTTTATTATGAGTGTTTTTGCCTGCATGCATGTAAGTGCATTGGTGCCTGTAATGCCTGTGGAAGCCAAAAGAGGGTGTCAGATCTCCTGGAACTGAAATTATAGGCAGTTGTTGGCTGCCATGTGGGTGCTGGGAACTGAACCTAGGTCCTCTGCAAGAGCAGCCAGTGTTTTTAACTGCTGAACCATCTCTCCAGCCCTGACACCATTGTCCTTTAAAAAAATTAGAACCTTTTTTTTTTTTGGTCTTTTTGAGACAGGCTCTCCCTGTAGCCCTACCTGGCCTGGAGCTCACTATATAGACCAGGCTGGCCTTGAACTCACAGAGATCTGTCTGACTCCCAAGTGCTGAGATTAAAGGTGTGTACCACCACGCCTAGCGAAAAAACGTTATAAGGCTGTAATTCCTTCCGTTGACCCCTCTCAATCCTATCCTCTTGTTCTTTCTGTAGATAATCCCAGGTTAGTGTCTATTCTTCAGATTTTTTAGGCATTTACTTAAGAACATGTGTATGTGTGCGTGCAAAAAATATACAGTATTGTTTGTGTACGCTTTTTAAAATACAAATGTTAGGGGCTGGGGAGTGGTAAAGTACTAGCCACATGGGTATAAGGAACTGAGTTTGGATCCCCAGCCCCCATGTAAACGGCTCCTGTAACCATAGTGCTGGGGAAGCAAAGACGAGGATTCCTAGAGCTTGTTGAACAGTTGGTTTAGCAAAATTGATGAGCTCCAGGTTCAGCGAGAGACTGTCTCAAAAAATAAGGTGGAGAGCCATTGTGATAGACCTCTGATGTAAACCTATGATGTGTACATGTATAGACATCACCATGTACACATAGACATAAAAGTACAAGTGTTATACTGCACATGACAAAGTTTTGATTTAGAAACAAGACACTAAAAACAATGGCTGCAATACAGATTTAAAATCTAACCTCAGTTCTGTAAAACTGTAAATAAAGCAGGAAGTATGCTAGCCTGTTAATTGTTTCTGGTGGAATTGCAAGTGAAACCTCCCCCCCCCCCGAAGCTGATACACACACACACACACGCACAGACATCCTATTTCTCTATAGTTTGAATTTTTCTGTAGTGGGCAACTTACATAATTAGAGTTGGAGAGGGCAACCAACTATTTAGAAAAGGCTAAAAGAAGGCTGAGGGGGTGATGGGAGTTCTGTGAAAGCAGCTCCAACAAACTGCCTATCGGGAAGGAGAAGATTGCAAGGTGAGATGGGGAAGCCCTAACTTCTTGTTCTGTTCCCCTGCTGGGACCAGGAGGAACAAAGACACATGAAGATAATAGATGAAACTATGGCTCAGCTACAAGACCTTAAGAATCAACATCTGGCCAAGAAGTCAGAAGTGAATGACAAGAATCATGAGATGGAGGAGATTCGCAAGAAACTTGGGGGTGCCAACAAGTGAGAGTGGGTTCCAGCCTAGGGTGGGAGAAAGTAGGTAGAAGAGCAGGCAACCTTACAGATTTTGGTTTCACCTAACTCCTTGAACCTTTTTAGGGAAATGACCCATTTACAGAAGGAGGTGACAGCCATTGAGACCAAGCTTGAACAGAAGCGCAGTGACCGCCACAACCTGCTACAGGCCTGTAAGATGCAAGACATCAAGTTGCCATTGTCAAAGGGTACCATGGATGATATTAGTCAGGAAGAGGTGAGTATTATGGTGAGTGGTCGGAGTGGGCTCTGAGCAACTAATGGTCAGGGAGGGAAGGCAGAAGCAAGGAAACTTAGATGAAGAAAAGGAGCCACATTAGCTAACAGGAGCTAAGGCATTTTATTTATTGGAAGTGCCAGTTGGTAGTGAGGGGTTGGAAAATGTTGACTGAGAGGAGCTTTATGTAGGTCTTGTCTTAAGCCGGGTTATGTCTCAGTCCCATGGATCCTTCTTTCTCCATCTTCCCAAGTAGTTTTTCAGTTTATTTCAGTAAAATATTTTGAGTACTATATTTCAAGCACTATGGTAGGCCATGACATAACTACCCCTAATCCTAACTACAGCTGTGCCAGATATGCATTGTCCCCACAGTAGAAATGAAGAAACTTCAGGAACCCAGAGCATGACTTAATGAGAGGTAGAGCCCAATTTTCAACTTAGACCTTTCTCCTGGCAATGGCTCTGTTCCTTGTGCCTCAGTGCCATCTAGCAAGGTACTTCCTCAATGACATTGAAAACTTCAAAGGAGCTCCAAGTCTCTAGAGAGACAGATAGCCAGTCTGCTCCATCCGGCTCTCCTTGCCATTGCAGGGTAGCTCCCAGGGAGAGGAATCAGTGAGTGGTTCCCAGAGGACGTCCAGTATCTATGCACGAGAGGCCCTCATTGAGATTGACTATGGTGACCTGTGTGAGGATCTGAAGGTGAGAATCAGCAGTGAGGGAGGGGTGGGAGGCATTGGCATCTTCTCAGCTGTCCCAAGACAGGTTAACTATCTGGAGGGTGGGCGGAGCAGTCTATGAAGGCTGTAGCTAGAAAGCCTCTGCTGGCCAGGGATGGAAGACTGAGCTGGGAGCCAGGGTCTCCCCTTGTACCCAGCAATTTCTCCGTCCCTACTTGTGTGTATATACAAGTTTAAACCTGTATATACATACAGAGAAAAGGCTCCTGTGCAGTCAACATAAAGTTCTTGGGTGCTTCTCAGGGCTGTGCCTCAGATACTTGCTCTCCTTTGGAATTCTCTCTTTAGTTTCCATCTCTATGCTTAGTCCTACGGGTAACCTCAAAATCAAGCTTTTCTCCCCAGATCTTTCCCCTTTAGTGTCTTCCTCATGCTCAGTCAGATAAAAATCTAAGCTTCATTCTTGACTCCTTCCCTCACTTTGCATAGCCAATTAATTACCAAATCCTATCAATTTTGCCTCCTAGAGAATTAAATAGGTTCAGCATTTTCTGTCTCTTCTTTTTGCTCATTTCTTTGCTTCCTGTTGCTGTATCATCTCTCTAATGCAGGCTACTTTCATTTCACATGGGCCCCTATAAGAAATGAAATAGCTTCAAAAATGTTTTTCCTTATTATATCCTCAGAGCCATTCTTTTTTAATTTATGGAAAATTTCAAACACACATAGAAGGAAAATGGGATATAATGAATACTAGGTACCCATCACCTAGCTCCAACAGTTAGCAACATATGGTCAGTCTTGTTTTTTTTATAACCCCTGCTGCCACCGCCATGGGACTATTTTAAAGCAAATCTGAAGCATTGTTGGATCCATAATTACCTCAGTGTGTATCTCTAGAATATGAGAAAATGTAACCAAACCATACCAAAAAAAATTACTTTGTCCTTTCTAATATTCAGTGTTTTTGCAGTTTGTGTATTCAAATAAGGATTCAAGCAAGGTCCATATGTTAAAATTGTTCTGTATTATCCTGTAACATTTTCTTTGCCTTTTCCCCTCTTTATTTAATTATGGAAGAAACTGAGTCATTGGTCCTGTAGAATTTTCTGCATTTTGTCTTGGCTGGTTATGTCTCCATGATGTTATGTAGCATTCTCTTTTCTTAAATTCATTTTTATGTGTGTGAGTGTTATGTCTGAATGTATGCAAGTGCACATGTGTCATGCAGTGCCTTCAGAGGACAGAAGAGACTGACAGATCCCCTGGAACTGGAGTCACAAACAGTTGTTACCTGCCATATGGGTGCTGGGATTCGAACCTAGGTTTTCTGCAAGAGCAGCCAGTGTTCTTAACCTCTGAGTCATCGCTCCAGCCTCACTTAACATATTCTTCATCCCTTATATTTCCTACAAACTGGTAGATAGATGTAGGGTTAGTTTCAATTTGGATTCTTTGTTTTGGCAGTGAGAACTTTCCTTGGCATATCTGAAGATATTTACTGTAATGGCACAGTTACTCATGTGCTCACTTGCTCTCTTGGACTGGTTCTAGGAACCCCTCCTCTGGAACACTAATCTGTGACCACTCAAGTCCTTCATATAAATGCTCTGGTATTTGCATGTAATTTACACACATTCTCTCTCATACTTTTTGAAAAATATTTTTATTTTTTTGAGACAGGGTTTCACTGTCTATGTAGACCACGCTGGCCTGGAACTCAACAGAGATGGGTCTGCCTTTGCCTCTACTTCATGAGTGCTGGGATTAAAGACATGCTACCATTCCCAACTCCCTCATACTTTAAATCATCTCTACCTTAGTTACAGTGCCTGGTAAAATACAAATACTTATTATAGTATATTTAGAGAAAAAAATGACAAGGAAAAAATCGCCATACGCAGTATAGAATTTTTAAAAAAGGTGTTTTCAACCCACCTTTAGTTGAAACTCCATATGCAGACAGCTGATTTTGTAGAAAACGTTGATGCCAGAGGAACCGATGAAATAAAAGCATAGGCATGCAATTGGCCAAATCCAAACTGTGGGAAAACTTACCTTCTTATTTATTTACTATATTTTATTTTAAACAGGGTCTTGCTTTTTTGCCCAGGCTGTCTCAAACTCCTGGGCTCAACCAATTTTTCTAACTCTGTCTCCTGAGTAGCAGAGACTTAATAATTTAATGTATTTAATGTATTCTACTCTATGTAATAGAAGATATTGCCAGGCGTGGTGGCATACGCCTGTAGTCCCAGCACTTGGGAGGCAGAGGCAGGCGGATCTCTGTGAGTTTGAGGCCAGCCTGGTCTACATAGTGGGTTCCAGGACAGCTGGGGCTACAGGGAGACCCTGTCTCAAAAAGACCAAAAAATTTAAAAAAGATATTAATAACAATTTGACTATTAAATGTAGTTTTAAATAATTTAAAGCTTTCCTTAAGGAAATATATAGTCCTGTTTTCATATAATTTGAAAGAATTCTTTTGATTATTTAATAACTTAATATATAGTTTTATTTTGTTTATAATTTTTAGGGATTGCTTTCTTTTTAGCATTTTGACTTTTTGTATTTTTAGTTTTGGAATGTTTCAGACTTACAGAAAGAACTAGATACCCATGCATAAGCCTTTCACCAATGACTTTCTTTTACCATATTTTTTTAAATTACAGTTGTGTGTGTCTGTGAAGGTAAGAGGACAGTTTGTAGGAGTCAGTTCTCTCCTTCCACTCTGTGGGTTCTGGGGATAGAACTCAGGTCATCAGTCCCCAAGGCTATTGTCCTTTACCTGCTTAGCCATCTTGCTAGCCCAATTTTACCATATTTGCTTTCTCGCTTATCTCTCTTCTCTCCCTCTCACCCTATTGCATGTATTTTTTTTAACTGGATCTGATGAAGGAAGTACAGACATTAAGATATTAACTAGTTTGATTCTGTAGTTGAAAGTGTCAGTTGCCAGGTCACACATTGCTAAGCATGCACTTTTAATTTTTGTCGTTCCTTAGCAAGGAATCTTTAGAATGATGCTTTGTCATCTTGTGAACATCTTGTTCCCCAATAATTTTTACCCACTGTTTTCCATATTTCCATTTAGTTTTGCTTTATAATAACTATATAGGATTTTCTGGTTAGTTTTTTTATTGCTCTTTCATTGTGATGGTTTTAAAATATATTTCCATGCAGATATGTTCATATTTTCTCTACCTTTATTTAGATAATAAATAGTATAGTATTATGTGCTTTTCATATGTCACTTAAAAGCCTATTTTGCAGACTACTCCAGCAGTATGTAGAGATCTTCAAAAAGGGATCTTTCTTCCATTCTTTTTCTTTCTTTTTCTTTTATTAAAAAATATTTCATTTATTTTTATTTTATGTGTATGAGTGTTATGCCTGCATGTAGGTAGGTACACCTGTGTCATGCAGTGCCTGCAGAGGTCAGAAGAGGGCATCAGGGGAGCTGGAGTTATGGACGGTTGTCAGCCACCATGTGCGTGTTGGGAACCGAACCTGGGTCCTCTGCAAGAGCAGCCAATGCTCTTAACCACTGAGCCATCTCTCCAGCCCTCTTTTTCTTTCTTTCCATAAATTGTTTATTGTTCAATGTGGCTGTGACTTTCAATGTAATTTTTTTCATGCCACATGTGACCTCCTGCACTCCCTTTCCCCACACTTGTCTCCTAGTTTCACAGTCTATATCCACTCTCACAACCCCTTATTTATATACATAAAAACATCATTAAACACAATAAAAATATTAAAAATTAAAGTGCACATGTGAGAGAAAACATGTAGTTTTTGTCTTCTGAGACTGAGTCATCTCACTTAATATGCTTTCTAGTTCCATCCATTTTCCTGCATTTATTTATTTATTTATTTATTTATTTATTTATTTGTATGTGTGTGTATGCACATGGGTGCCATGGCATGTGTATGGAGGTTATAAGGCAATTTCTGGGAGTCAGTGTTCTCCTTCTACCATGTAGATTCTGGGGATTCAACTCAGGTTGTCAGATTTGATAAGTGCCCTTACACTGAGCCATCTTAACAGGGCCTTTTAAAATCTGTATTGGCCATTGTGATTCTCTTTATTTCATTAGAACATTTATGGATTGGCAACTTTGTGGTTTTGGTGTTTTATAATTTTTCATATATTCTCTTAGCTATCAACCCCCTGTCTGCAGTAGAACTGGCAAAGATTTTCTCCCATTCTATATGCTGTCTGTTCTCTGTTGATAGTTTCCCTTGCCATGCAGAAACTTCAATGCCCCATTTGTTG